ATTTTCACTCAAATGTTAAATATTTGACAGGAATTCTAAAGTTAATAGAGATTTCACAATTCCATGTCGAAGAAGAAAATTTCAGCAAATAAGTAATCCATATCTTCATTTCTGGAAGAAGTGGATCTCAGCAAAGATTCGAGATTCAAATACATCACAGAAAGAGGCGGATTAACATTTCCAATGGAGGGGTTCATAATGAGAAGATCTCATCCAAAGAAAGAGAAAAAGTTCATAATCAGAAGAATTTGTTCACCATTTTGCTCGATTCTATCACAGAAGGGAATATATCAATATCAACGTTCTGTTTGTTTTCATCACAGAAGAAGGTGGATCGGCAGGAACAAAAAAAGAGAAGAAGTTCATTATGAGAAGAACTTGTTCAACCTTTTCCCAAATCCATCACAAAAAAAGGTGGATCGAAATTTTCAATGGAGAGTTTATAATGAGAAGAACTAGTCCAAAAAGGGAGAAGAAGTTCGTAATAAGAAGAACTTGTTAACATTTTCCCAAATACATCACAGAAAGAGGTGGATTGACATTCCCAATGGAAAAGTTCATAATGAGAAGAACTTGTAGCTTAGAAATTTGAATATTTCAGGCAAAAAATGGTGCTTTAAATCTTTGTTCCATTCCTATTTCACAACAATGAGCAAAGAATAACAACTGCAATCACCATTTTTTTGTATAAAATATATTTTATTACTTTATTATTAAAAATAATAAAATAATATAGCATTGTTGGGGTTATAAAAACCCCAAACTTTTCTTGTTAAAAAGGAGATTTTTTTTGTGGGGGTGGGGGGATAGAAAGCTTATTCCTTATTGTGCAAAGGTTTGTTTGAACCTTTTTCCCCTTCTCTTTTTTCATTTCCTTTATGCATAAATGTAGTTTTAATGCAAAAACGAAGAGATGAGAGATGTGTTACCTAAACTGGGGTAGTTGGGCTGTCGGAGTTGAACTGTTGGGGTTTATGTGCGCCAAGGGTTGTGGTTTTCAGTCGAGGAAGAAAGGAGAGTTAGAAAGAGGGTCATTTCGAGTTTTGGTTGAGCACGTTCCTCGGATTTGTGGGTGGCTGACGGCGTTGAGGAGTTCCTTGCGAGCGGCACCGACGTTGGAGCTTGGCTTTAAGCCTTCTCGACTGTGTGAAAAGACGAGAGGGAGAGTGTGAGAGAGAAAGATGAACGTGGGGGGAGTAGTTTCTTTTATGTTTAATTGCTTTTCAGCCCCTAGACTTTAGGCATCATTTTGTGTCCTGGTCATTAATTTAGGGTATAATGTCGCTTCAATCCTCCCTGTTTTGGTCACAATTGTTGTGGCCAAATTACTTTCGAGTCCTCCCAGTTTCAGCGTGTTTCACGTTTTGGTCACTTTTTCATGGGAAAACCACCTTTAGGTCCTCCGTATTTTAGTGCCCTTTTGCACTCTGGTCACTTATTTGTGTTTTTTACTTTAAATATACATGTTGATTTTACTAACTTTTATTTTGGTCACTATTTATACTATTTTATTTATTTCGAATTAACTACTAGCTTTTATTTTATTACTTATTAACCACTGTCATTTATTTATTACTGTTATTTGATTCGACCTTGTGGTGACCTGATCCAGGGTATGATCCATATTATTATGGTCCATACTCTATTAACATCTAACCGCTAACCACTAACCGCTAACTTTTTATTTATTTATTTTATATTCGAACAATAGTACGACCTTGTGACAACCCGCCCTGAGGTATGACTCGCATTATTTACTATCTGGGTTAAACATTAAAACATTAACACTAACATTTTATTTTATTGCTCTTTTAATTTTTTATTTAATTTTATGCACATTTAAAATTCTGCCCTTTACTTTTTATTTATTTAATTTCAGTCTTTTAATTTCATTGCTTTAATTTTTGTCTTTTTATTTTTTCCTTTCATTTTTCAGTATTTTAATTTTAGTCCTTTAAATATTGCATTTTATTTTCTGTTTACTCTATTTTAGTCCCATGAATATATATATATGCATATTTCATATTTTTTTATTGAGTGCCTTGTTTTGCTATCTTGCATTTTGTTCCTAATTTAGATTACCATATCTTTGAGTTTACCTTTTAAATTTAGATTCCTTTTGATTTAGTCCCTAGAGCTTTTAATTTATTCATATCGCATGATTAATTAAAATTAATTTAAGTTAATATTAGAGCCTCCATTTTTAGGTTTGATCCTTAGGTTCTTTAAATTTTAAATATGCATACTTAGCGGATTTTAAATTAAATTAAATTTTGAACTCAAAATTTCTAATAATAAAATATAGAATAATCGACTAGGTACTAATTTTAGGCGTTGTGGGGGTGCTAATCCTTCCCCACGCGTAATTAGCTCCCGAGCCTGATTTTTGATTCCGCATACCAAAATTTAGTATTTTTAGTAAAATAAAATTGTTTTATTAAATTACCTGATTTTAAGTGTTATAATCTCACCTTAAAATGACCTGGTGACGACTCCCATTCTTTTCATTGAATACCATTTATTTATTTTTCAAAAAAGTCGTATCGAGGAAAATCAGTTACGATAAGTATAATTTATTTTTGATTCTAGATCGGACATTGCGAGGCAAGAGTGACCCTCGCAACCCAGTTTGTTCAATTCACAAACGTCAAGGTTCGAATTCTGACCTTGCTTAAAGTATCTAATACATCATCACACTAAACCAAATTGCTGGTTACACACTTTAGCTTTTAACCATGCTTAGAAGCATGCATGTCTTGAAAATGCATAATAAATTGCATAAAACTACTTGGATAGCCAAATTGTGATATATTGGTGAATTTGACGTTGTAAGAATGTTTTTATATAGTTTTTTTTTGTTTATGAAGTAACTACAAAGATTTCATATCAGTACGTTATTATTTGAGAATGTTATAAGACATTTAAAATTGAATTTGTAGGTAAATTTTAGATTTTGAACATTTAGTATAAATATTGTTCTCATAGTATTGATATTTCTTTTAGCTAAAATTTCAAGTATGTTGATTTGGTATTAGTATGAACTATAATATTAATACTTAATATAAAGTTTCAATATTAAACTTTGTATATCGATACTTCTCGTTTAAATTGTAAAATTTTAGGCTTTTAATTATATCTATGCTTATTAAATTACCTATATACCCTTATATATTTGTATATTTTTTAATTTAGCCCCTTTTTATGTATAATGAGTATGATTGATTGAATTTGGGGGAGGAATGATGTGCGCGTAGACAAATTTGTTAGTCAAACGGGATTATATTTATAGAGTGAGGAAATGAAAATTTTGAATTAAATACAAGATTGTAAGGTACTTGTACTCAATAATATTCTCAAATTAATTCAGTGGTCTTAATAATTTGGATTAATTTATTTTTTAATAATTTAGATTTATTTTGAGTAATAATATTTATAAGAGATGAGATGGAATTTAAATAATTTAAGATATACAAAAAATGATAATCTCAAAGGAGATTTTAGTCTCAAATGTTTAGCTCGTCAGCTTCTTAAACTCGTAATTTGTGAAATTTATAGGGTTAATTACCCCATTCATACATGAAGTATACACAATTCTCAGTTTAATGCATAATATTTAAAAATTCTCGATTCCATACATAGTATTTTCTACCGTTAACGGGTTCGCCCATTTCCGTCACGAAAGGTGACGTGAAACCCTAACAAAAATGCCACGTGGAACTTAAAAAAATATTTTTTTTGAGTGTCACGTCACCTTCCGTGACGGAAATAGGTGAACCCGTTAACGGTAGAAAACATCATGTATGAAATCGAGAACTTTTAAACATTATGTATGAAACTGAGAATCGGGTATACTTCATGTATGAATGGGGTAATTATCCTATAAATTTGGCTAATTAACCCAAATTTATAACAATCAAATTTCCATGACATTGAATGTTGGATGATGAATTGATTGAATAAGGAATATTGTGTTACTAAATTAAAAGTAGGGAAAAATCAATCAATGTGAATCAAATTCCCAATATAATAAAAGTACTTGAATGGATATTTTGCCAATGATTATTCTTGGGAAGAATAGATTTTTTTTTCCATTTAGTTTATAATCAGGAAAGTAAGCCCATTTGTACAAAGTAGGATGAGAGTACATTTTACTTTGAGTTGAGGGAGATGCGGATGTTGATAATACAAAATAATTGAAACCAAGGGTAGTATGAAATATGTTATACACATGTGTTAAATTATCTTAATTTTTGCCTTAACTCATTATGAAGTAAAGAGAGAAATTGAATTTTCTAAAAGGTTGCCTTATCTCTTAATGTTACAAAAAGGTTAAGAATCTCATGTGTTGGATTAATGCTCGTACCATGCAGAAAGATACATCAGAATCATTCATCTTCATGCACTATAAATATATTTGAAACAGAGCTATAGTTTCCATAGCATTCATGTCCATGAAAATGAAAAGAAAACTAAAATGATGTCAACAGAATACAAAATGCAATATATTTGCTGAACAATGATTCATCTTCATTGCAAGATATTTCTGAAATATTTACTAAGAAATAGTAAGCGAAAGTGTGAGTCATCCACCTTATCTTCTAACCACCATTGACTAAGTTTAGTAACACTGACAAAGAATTAACTCTTTGACAAACTCCACATGCTTCAAAAAATATTATAAAATGCCATTTCCTGGATGCATTGAATGATATGGTATTACAATGAAAGCAATTAAAAGAATGTATAGTATTAGAAAAGGTAGTGACATTCCTGTATTTGCAATATCATATAAGAAACAGGTATACCAACATGAAATTTTATGTCATGTATACCTTTCAAACAACTATGCAACACACTTGACCAAATAAGCTCACAAAAACCACATTAAGCAACATTATTTGATGCATGTAGTAGAAATGAAAATTATGAACTGAATTAACATAATTATGCTCAATAAATGAAATGATTAAAAATAAACACTATTAAGAAAAGTACCTGAGATCATTGTTACTAAGTAGACCTTAATTTTCAAAACAACCATTGCTATACTGAATCACTGCTTAGTTGGATATCACAACTTTAGTTTTTGGATTCCGAGGAATGATAGCTTTGCGTTGGGGATTTTCTATAGAATATACAAGAAGACTTCCATCTTTTGTCCCCGCCAAGAAGCATTCTTCTGGAGTCACAGATAGGGATGTTATTATCTTCCCAACCCCACTATATCGTTTCACAACCTCAAGTGTGTTCATAGTGCGAACAACAATATGTCCTTGGTCACCAGCACAAACCAAAAACTCGCCACATCCACTGAGTTCAACACAGTTGAGGCGACCATTAGCCTCAGAAGAGGCAAGATGTTTTCCATTAATAGAATAGAGATGTAAACTGAGATCACCGTCGGCATAAAGTACAATCCTTCCATGCTGAGAAGTTACAAGTTTTGACAAAGCACTTCCAGATGGATGTTGCAAAGATCTTACATATCTTCCATCTCGCAAGGTATGGAAAACACAAGTTCCATCATTTGACCCACTAATCACTATGTCAAGCTCAACACTAACATATAAGCATGTAATTATATCGTCGTGACCAGAAAGAATATGTAAGGGAGTTTCAGCAATGATACAGTCCTTACGGAGAACTTTCTTTTCTGGGGCTCTAACACGAAGAACCTCTCGCACCATAACCGTAGTGTCATAACTTCCAGTAGCTAAAATACTTCCATCAGAAGTAACTACAACAATGTAATGAGATAATAAATACTAAAAGAAACACTTATATTGACAATTCACAATTACATATAGTACTTGTAAGTTGCTAAGAAATATGAACGAGTTTTTCTGGAAAGAGAAATTTATTTCTCTGTTTTTCTCTTATTCAAAAAAAAAAAAAAAGGAAAAAGGAAGACCATACATATTTTAAATGGGTTGAATTACAACATAAGAGTCCTACTAGTATTTACAATATAATAGTCTTGTTAGGTGTTTACCTAGTTTGACAAATATCTATCTTGTCTTCTACATAGATAAGTCTCAACTTCTATTTAGACAAGTCTAAGATTACAAGTTTAAAATAAACTAAAATACAAAGTCTAAGAATACACATCCCTCAACATGTGGAGAACATATTATATACGGCTAATTAAGAGATTAAATGTGATAAGATTAGATAGAATATTAGTTAGATTAAGTTAACTCTTAATAGAAATCTAAATTAGACTTGTATATCTATTGTAAATATGCTTATATAATGTCTAACCTATGTAGTCATTTTAAATGAGAAAAAAAAAGAGGATATGATATTTTCTCTGTTTCAAATCATTTTCTCTATTTTCTACAAAGGCTAAACAACTAAAGACTTTTAATGGAAGATCAGAAGAAAAAGACTTAAAATGTGGAAATTGTTGAAGAAGGATATCACGAGGCCTCCTAAACTTTAACATCCTACTAGGAAGTCGATTGATGAGGTATATAACAGTTAAAATGACTTCTCCTTAAAGACATTTAGGAACACTAATAGAAAACATGAGAGATCTGACTACCTCGAGTAGATTTCTATTTTTTCTTTTATCTACCTTGTTTTTTTTTTTGTGATGTATAAAACACTTGAACGATTTCTTTAGAATATTAACTTAATTTCTTAATAAAGCACTCATCCTTATGATCAATTTTAAGTATTTGAACGTGGCTTTTAAATTGGTTTTCAACAATATTGTAAAAGGTTTGAAATATCTCACCTCTGCCTATATGGCTTGAAGTAGTTACTTAGAGCTTGGTTTGACAGATTTACCAAAGTATGCCATAACGTTTACTACTTTTTCTAAAAAAATGACCTCTCTCTAATAGAAGTCGAAGAGTCGGTTCACTCCCCCACTGGAGTAACCTGGTCAGTGTTCATTGACAATCTCAGTAGAAGAATTGCTAGGGGCACGTTAAGGGAATTGTGTAATCACCATGGGAAGGTTATTAGTGATTTTATTCCTCGGGTTAACAACGGAGCTAGGTACAGGGATTCAACCTTCGCTTTTGTTCATTTTGCAAGTCAGGGAGAGCAGGTGAATGCGGTCAATAAGCTGAATAACACAATTATAGATGGCAGAAAGGTCTCGGAGGAATAGCTAAGTACCCGAAGGTGATAAACCTCCGTTATCCTGGAGGAGAAAATGGTGTTCAAATGGAAAACAGATTGAAGAGACTTACAAAAAAGCAGTAGAGAAGGAGGCTTTCTTCAAAAAATTTAATGACAGTAGATCTTACAGGGAGGCTATTGTTAGTGACAATAACCCTTTTGTGGTAGTTGAGAAGTTGGGTACGAAGAATGAATCAAAAAATCCGGTGAACTTCTTCATTCCAGAGGAGGAAAGGGAGTGGATAAAATGTTCATTAACGGGTATAGTTAAAGAAGGTTTTGATTTTGAGTTTGAGTTCAAAGAGCTCTCTATAATGATGGCATTGATGTTGTTGTGAGGCGATGCGGTTTCGATAGGAACGCGTGCATCCTTAGCTTTAATTCAAAAGAAGAAATGAAAGAAACTTGGCTTAACAAGAAAGTGGAGCTTTCATATTGGTTTGATTGGATTGAGAAGTTGCTCATGGAGGATGGCATACCCATGGCGTTTTGTTCGGTTCATCTATACGGAATCCCTCTTATTTGCTGGAATAATTCTATCTTCACAAGCTTAGCGAATAGATGGGGTCGTCTGGTAAGCATTCATAAGGACACATTGTCTAAAGCTGATCTCTCGGTGGCTAAATTTTTATTGAGGGTTGCAAGCCCGTATAATGTGCCTAATACTATCGGACTCTTTGCAAATAAAAGATCGTTCCTAGTTAGGGTTAAAACTGGGTATATTAAGTCAGAATCGAAAGACAGTGGTTGCCTGATGATGCAAGCTCCTCAGAGGATATTTGGGAAGATAGTTCATCAGAGAGTGGGGGAAATGACGATGGTGCCTGGAAGGTAATATGGACGGTCATCCGTCCCCGGAGGATGTCTATAATAAGGTGAACACGTGGCTCGAGAGAGGCATGTCAGGTGATGTTGATGATTTAAATCCAGTTGTAAATAAGCAAGGGGGTGTTGATGCTATGAGCATTAATTGTGGCTGATTCGAGAAGGATTTCAGGGGAGGCGATTAATGAAGCAGACAATTTAAAAGTAAGGATTAATTCCCCAAGGGAAGGTTTAAATGACAATAATGGGGAAAGGGATTCTCACAGTTTACGGGCTGCCACCCAGAAAAAACAGATAATGTCTACCCATAATCATATTGGGCTGGTAATAGGTAGTAATTAGACAGTTGGATCAAGGGCCGTTGTGCCTTCTTGTGCAGAAACAAATAGTGGAAAAATTCAAGCTGAAGGAAGTAATTGTAATAACAAAAAAAACAAAGCTCCCCTAGACAATCTCGGGCCAGTGTTAACTCGGTCTAAAAGTGTTAGCCATTTCGTTCAAAAATAGAATCTCTCATCGTCGTATAGGCAGTGTGTCTTCAGAGATTAGCATCTGTTTTTACGACAAAGTGTACAAAAGGGTTCAGAGAATGATGGTTCGTGATTCGCTGGAAATAGATAGTGGTTCAACCAGTTCGTCCCCTGCCTCAATAAATGCAAGAAAGGAAACTGTTGCTACTAGAGAGATTAGTGATATGTTGGGGATTTCTTTCAGAGGGGTCAAAAATTGCTAGAGGAGGAGATTGAGAAGCTGGAGAAGATGAGGGTTTCGAAGAAGAAGATTTAAGCTTCTTCTTTTTGTTGCTGGGTTTTTAAAAATATTATCAGATAAATTAAATGTCAAAAATCAATTTGTTATCGTGGAATATTAAGGGTTTAGGAAGAAAAGAAAAAGTCAGAGCAATGGTCAGGCTTGTGAAGAAGAGTAGTCCAATTTTCTTGTTGATACAGTAGACCAAGCTTGAACATTGCCAACAAGAGTTAAAAAGAAAATTAGGGGGTATTCGAATGAACGGCTCAAAATTTTCTCCAGTTGTGGGGTCTGCAGGAGGCTTTCTTTGCATTTGGAACGAGGAGATGTTTGAAGTTACTCAAGAACATATATACAACAGATTTATTGCAATTGTTGGTACATTCCAAATGTCGAGGATGGAGTGTGCAGTAATTAATGTATATGGTCCTTCTATAGAGGCAGAAAAGGAGGCATTTTTCAAGAAGTTATTGGATTTTGTAGTAGACCTTAGCATTCCAGTGTGTATTGGGGGAGATTTCAACGCCTATTTAGAGCCAGAAGAGAAGATGGGTGCTACACATAATTGGCATTCAATTGAGATGCTAAGGAATTTCGTTCAACAGACTAATTTAATGGACCTTTCATTAGCAAGTGGCAGATTTACTTGGTGTAATAATAGGGATTCTCCAGCGTGGGTCAGATTGGATCGTTTTCTAATTAATGGTGGATTTCTGAATTGCTTCCTGAACGTAGTTCAATGTCTCCTTCCTAAGTCTCTCTCGGATCACAATCCGGTTCTGTTAGAAGAAAAATGATTGAATTGGGGTCCTAAGCCATTTTCATTATTCAATTATTTATTAGAGGAAGAAGGGTTTGAAGATATGGTCAGTTCTGTAATTTCTAACCTCAAGAGGGAGAATAAACATAGGGGCATATTATGCATTTTGCAAGGTACAAAAAAGCGATTAAAAGCTGGTCGGGTAGTAGGCATACAGGGATTTCTGAGTCTATTTTGGAGTTGGAAGCCAAAATTCTTAACATGGAATTAAAATTTCAAAATGGTAGTCTCTAACCTCAAGATTGGAGTCAGTTGTCGCAATACAGGAATGAGCTTTGGAGGATGCACAGATTGACGAGAGGATTTGGTTTCAGAAGTCAAGAACAAAATAGATTAAGGATGGAGATAAGAATACAAGGTTCTTCCACCTTTGTGTCTCGAGCAGGAAAAAAATTAATTCCATCACCTCATTGAATATTGAAGGTAAGGAAACTTCGGATCCAGTTCAAATAAAGAAGCACGTAGAAGATTTTTTTACAGAGGCTTTCAACAGTGTAGCAACATTGGAAGTGGAGGATATTAATCTAGGTTTTTCCAAATTATCTCTTGAACAAAGGGAGCAGATCGAGGTGCAATTTTCGGAACAGGAAGTTTGGGAAGCGATCTCGTGTTCGAATAGTAATAAGGTGCCTGGTCCGGATAGGCTCACTTTGGGTTTTTTCAAGAAGTGTTGGCCTAGTCTGAAGGAGTCGATGATGAAATTCTTTAGTGATTTTTATCAGAAAAAATGGGAGCACGGTGTCAATCATGCCTTCATTACCTTAATTTCGAAGAAGATAAATCCAGAGTGTTTGGATGACTATAGGCCCATCAGTCTCGTTGGAAGTTGTAAAATTTTCTGTCTAAAGTATTGTCCAAGAGACTTATTTGCGTTGATGATATTGTTAGCTCGTCTCAGTTTGCCTTCATTCCAGGAAGGCAGTTGTTGGATTGTGCATTTATTGCTAATGAGGGTATAGATTACTGGAGGAAAAAAATGCTAAAAGGTTTGGTTTTTAAAGTAGATTTCCATAGAGCTTACGACACAGTTAAATGGCTAATCCTTCTAAGAATCATAAAGGAGATGAGATTTGGTGAGAGATGGTGTTCGTGGATCTCTTATTGTTTATCCTCTGCGTCTATTTCTGTTCTCCTAAATGGCACCCCCACAAAGGAGATTCTGATGTCAAAAGGTTTAAGACAAGGATATAACCTTTTCTCCAATTTTGTTTTATTTAGTTGGGCAGTTACTTCATTTGATGTTTACTAAAGCGGTGAATATGGGCCTTTTCTATGGTTTCACTAATGGAGGGTCAGAAATTTCTTGCCAGTTGTCTCATCTTCAGTTCACAGACGACTTAATAATCTTCTGTCGCGCTTCCCTCGGGCAAATCAGAAATGTTAAGAGAGTCTTTAGAATTTTCATCTTGATGGCTGGGCTCAATCTAAATCTTACGAAAAGTCATTTGTATGGGATCAATATGGAAGAAGACATCCTGAAAGATTGGGCCTCATCCATAGGGTTTCTCTGTGGGTTCTTTCCCGACGAAATATTTAGGGTTACCCTTAGGAGCAAAGAAAAATTCAGAGGTTCTGTGGGATCCGGTTATACAGAGATTCAACAAAAGATTGGAAGGTTGGAAAGCTTCTTCACTATCCTTGGCTGGTAGATTGGTGCTCTTGAAATCATTATTGTCTTCTCTTTTGAAATTTTTCCTATTCGTCTTCAAATTGCCGAGTAAAGTTAGTCAGAAATTGAATTATTTGATGGCTAGATTCTTGTGGGGATGGTTTAGAGAAGAATCGTATCCATTGGGTGAATTGGCTAACGGTGTGTTGTTCGATTGAAAATGGAGGTTTGGGGGCTTTAGATTTAAATCTTGCTAATCGGGCTTTGCTAGGGAAATGGATTTGGATGTTTGCAAACGAGAAGGGCACATTGTGGAAGGATTTGATTTGTTGCAAACACAATGTTGATAGTATGTCTATGTCAGTTAGTAGGGTGTATTCTACCCTAGATTCTTGGATTTGGAAAGGAATTGTTAGAAGCTTCTTGAAAAATGATTCAATTTGTGAGAGGTTAAGATCCCATTCTAGGTTCTAAGAGGGAAATGGTAAATCGATTTCCTTTTGGAATGACGTATGGGTCGATAATATCCCTTTGAAAATTCAGTTTCCTAGAATTTTTGCATTGTCTCCAAATAAATCGGGTAAGGTGGTCGATTTTGGTGGTTATGACTCTAATGGTTGGATTTGGAATTTTCGAACAAGAAGGGATTTGTACGATTGTGAATTAGAACAATGGCTGGAATTAATGATCAAATTGAACAACATTCAACTGATAAAGGCAGTGGATGATTTTTTATCGTGGTCCGGGAAAGGCGATGGGTTGTTTTCGGTCAAATCCTACAGAAGAACTCTAGTTAAGGATCATGTGGAGAACCCTATTTGGAGGAATTATGTATGGTCAGGGTTGGTGCCTCCAAGAATTGAAACTTTTCTTTGGCAAGCTACTCACCAAAAGCTGGCAGTTAAATCATAGTTGAAGAATAGGGGGTTCCCTTATCAGATGGGGAGCTTTTTCCGTTGTGCAAGCAGAGCGAAGAAACTGCCCAACATTTGTTTATTTTCTGCTCAGTGGCTGGGGAGATTTGGAATAAGTTTTTCAGACTTTGGGATGTTTGTACAACTTTGCCTCGTGATATTCCTTCCCTCATTAGTTCTTGGTCTAATTTGGTGGAGAAATCAACGATTTGAAAATTTATTCCAGGTGTGGTCCTATGATCGATATGGAAACATAGGAATTCAATTGTCTTTGAGAATAAGGTACTGGACAGGTCATCCCTCTTTATCATTGTCAGATTTGGATTAGCCAAGTTTACTCAAGGGTCGATTTCGGTTGACTAATTAATGGCTAATCCTTCTTTAGCAGATGGTTTCAAGTGTTCAAAGGTTTCAAATAGGGCTGTACATAAATGGCTCCCTCCCGCTGTTGATTTTTACAAGTTTAATGTTGATGGTGTTGTTAGAAGAGATGGGATGGCTGGTGGTATGGGGGTATTCTTAAAAATTCAAATGACTTCGTTCTAGCGTCGTTTTCAGAGAGTGTTGGACCTGGTCCTCCCCCATTAGCAGAGTTGAAGGCTATTAGGAAAGTTACTGAAATTTTCTATTCCTCAGTTTGGTCTACTAAAGGTAGATTGATGCTGGAAAATGACTGCAAAACAGTTGTGGAATGGATCCAGTCACCTTGTCTTGCCCCTGTGTACTTTAGTAATGTAATTAAGGAGATTGAGTCTTATGTACTGTCTAGGGCGTTGTTAGTGAAGTTAATTTCTAGGGGTTGTAATTGGGAGGCTGATAAGTTAGCTAAAGAAGGGATTGGATAATTCTTTGCTGTTTTATAGGATGTTCCTGCATCTTTTGAGGACAGCTTTTTCTGATGTTATGTAAAGGTTTACTGCTGTATTTATGTATTATCAATAAAATGAGGTACTCTTTTTCTCCTTCCGCTAGTTGTCCCTTTCATTTTGGAAAGGGTCAATTATGAAGGGATTTTTAATGAGACCTACTTTTATAAAAAAAAAAAAGATTTACCAAATTGTGGTTAAACATGGCTACAATATGTGGTGTCAAGAAACAATGTTGAAGTAGAATTTTGAGCACTTGAACCTGAGATTTTAAAGGAATGTGGATGTAAAGGTTATTGAAAGAATTAAAGTTGGACTTCAAAGGATAGTTCGAGGTACGAAATTCTGCCATCAACATTGCCAAGGATTGTTTTCCATCATAACATGTGAAAATCGACACACTTCATCTTAGAGAAGGTCAACAATGTTTCGTAAAGTTGAACTATGCCCCTACACAGAAACAACTTGTTGATGTTCTCACCGAGACCCTTATAAACTTTGGCTAGCTCATATCCAAGTAGAGATTCTACAATATATACTTACCGGTTTGAGGGGGAGTGTAGATTGTAACTGTATGACTTAAATAGTAAAGTTTTATTTTATCTTGTACTCTACATCTTATCTAATTAAAATATTAGATATGATTTAAAGTGGAAATTGTATTTATTTTGTAGCTTCTTTGTAATCTATTTATATGAAGGACTAACCTATGTAATAAAAAGATCAGCGAAATCATCTTCTCTATTTCAAAATCATTCTTAATTTCTGCATATGTATCATCCTTGATTAGACTCAACATCCTTGATTATACAATTCATATTTAATGCATGTATATTTACTTCCCTTCCTACTTTGACAAATCAATAAAATTGGAAATTTTGAATTTCAACACCTCTTATCATTAGTACTGGAATTTCTTCATTTGTCATATTGCTAATACAACCCACTTCTGTGAAGAAGAGTTTATAGTGGGAGAAGAAAATGGGAAGTCTAAGTAGAATTTAACTATCATAAGGAGGTTGAGGGCATAACTTGAAAGAAAAAAAAATGAATTATTCAGCAACAGATAGTTCCACAAATGCAATATGGTTAACTTTAAAGAGTTATCGGGTAAAGCTTTAGTAAATGTTCAAAAATACTAGAAATATTAGCTATGCTTCGTATCAGATAAGATCAAGCTTCATATTCCTTTTTCTTCTAAAAAATTTAAAGCACTCTATGAAAGAAAAATACCTGCAACACAACTAACAACATCTTTGTGCTGTCGAATGCTTTGAACAATTCTTCCATCACTCAAAGATATGACTTGGAAGCTGTTTTCCCAATTTCCGCACGAAATCAAAAAGGTCCCCGATGGTGTTTGCATTGTAGCAAAACATTGTGCACCAAGTTCAATATTTTCTGCTATAGGACTCCCAATTTTGCGAGGAGAAAGAATATCAGAACCAACTCCAAAGAAAAGATCCTGAGAAGTTTGAAAAAATATAGAGTATTTCAAGGCATTCCAATGATTCAATTAAAAAAAACAAAAAAATGATATAATAAATTCTAACCTGAGAACCTGAGAAGGTGAAATTTCCACTGAATTGAAGTTGGGTTGTCAACCACATCTTAACAGATAAAGTAAGCCCTTGGTTCACAATGACAATGTTCGAGTCCATTAATTCGACATACAAAACAGCTGATGTTGGATAACTCGTACAAGAAAGAATAGATGTCAAATTAATAGAATCGGGTGCGAAAGACACAGGATGAGCAATTGGAATTGGAGGCCCTCTTCTAGGGTGACTTTTATGAAAAATTTGTATTGGTGTCTGACCAAAATTTGCAATCTGGTCTTCAATTGCTGATCTCTGTAGATCATCTCCCATGGAGTCGAGATCTACAGAACCTTCGTAAGTTAAATAATAGAAGATATTTGCAGCCTGGAATCCGTTCATTTTAACTGAAATCAGTTTGGAGAAAAAAGTTGAAGAAAATAATTGAAGTAAAGTTATTGAAAGACATTCTTTCCACAAAATACCTCCACTGCTGGTTCACCACGCTGCTTGTAACCAAACACCAAATCAATCCAGTGGTGGAGATTTGAGCTAACATACTCACTTTCTAGGGCTTCTCTGTTTTTAGTTATGAACAATTCAGGTGAACCCTATAAAGAAGCGAAAATAAGTTTTATATTAACTATTTAATCAAAATAGTTTGATCTCAAATTAACAAGGATTCTTTAGCTCAGCAAGTGAAGGACTCAAGGCAAATTCAACTTGTAGAGAAAGCAAAACTTAAATCAAATACACCCTAGAAAATGTCTGAAACATAACATTCTTTCTAGGAATTCACATACCTTAGCCCAGGGAGGGAGAGAAACATCACTTATGGGTTCGCCATCTTGTTTCACCCCAAGATGATAAGAGTTTGAATTAATGAGAAACTCAGGCATGTAATAAAACTCAGGAATCAACTCCTTCACGTCACTTGTATTAGAAAGACAATTATTATATGTATCTTCAATGCTTCTAAAAAGACGATCTGCATGGTCAAATTTACCGCCCTGAAGAAAAATGATGAATTAGTTGAGCTTGCATGCTATGACTTGACCACTACTTAACCGATAAAAAAGAAAAGGATAGAGAACCATGTCACATACAAGAAATAATAAATTAAAAGTGAATATTATTCATAAGTTAGCATTAGAATCATATTTGAAACCATCATATTGTTACAAATATGTGAATAAATCATGTCACCAGGTGATTGACAAGGAAATTGAAGTCAATTGTCTTCCCTTCATCTCAATGTTTGTAACACGCAATTGTTATTGATAATTCAAACTTGTATATTTAGCTGCAAATACAAAAATTAATTCTGATTTCTTTTTAATTTAGACTTTCTTAGTATAACCTATATTCCAAACATGGGCGGAACTTCAGGGGGCCAAGAGGAGCCTTGGCCCTCGCCAATTCTTTTTTATGTATTAATTAATATTGATTTTTTTTTTGAAAAATACATAAAGAAAAATTTACCCGGCCCCCTCAATTAAAAAAAATTGTATTTATGAAAAATAAAAAAATACTTTAACCCCGCCTTAATAAATTTTGGTTTCGCCCTTGATTTCAAAATAGTTGTAGACCCTTGTAAGCTATAAAAGGTTATAATCGAATGTCAATAATACGTAAGAGTAAAATTTTATTCATGGTATCCGAGTCATCGTATTGCTTCTTTTGGGAGAGAGGAAAATCATGAGCAAAGCCATTACGTAAACTCTTCAATCTTCCTAACCTATAACCATCTCCTCCTCCTCCTCTTCACTTTTTCATTAAGCTCACTTTTCATGGCTCCTAAACTAGTTCATCTGCTGATAAATCCACGACCACCAGAGATAAGTTTTTCTATAACTACTATACTAAACAAGGACATACTAATGATATATGTTGGAAACTGTAAGAAAATCCATCAAAAATAATTCTAGAACCACAAGTCAGCTGCTTAATTACAATAAAAAATTTGTCCATAGAGAAAAGAGACATTACAATCGAAATGTTAAGTGATTTCAATAAGTAAGAGATTAAGAAAATCCAAAAATTCCTATTAGCCATTGAGAAGTCAGTGAGATCATGCTCTATAATCAATGATTTTATGGTAAAACTTTTCATCTGAGGAAGCCTAGAGAAAAAGAAAATTAACATTGACTTTCCTACAATTGATCTCAACTCAACAAGTCTTACCTATGAACGTATTGACGTTTTTCAGAGTATTGTTGGGGTTGTTTAGGTGATTGCTTTCGGTCTTGGAGATCATCTTAGTTTTTGTCTTTGTTCGATTGGCTTAGGGGTATGGATCGATTGTTGTTCATTCTGGAGATGTTGGAATTGCATGTTGGAGCTTTGGTTGATCTATTCGTGGTCTGAGTAGCATATTGGAGTGCTCCCTTGATTTTCGGGTTTTAGTTTGAAGTTCGAGGTCGTTCTATTTTTAGGTTGTTATTGTTGTAATTATGTTTTGGTGTCTCTCTACAGGAGGTTAAGTGCTAAGTTGTATTGCTGCTCTTCATTAGGTGGTCTTTTTGTTGGTTTTCATCTCTGTTTGTAGCTGTTTTAATAACAACAGGTTAGATGTGTCTTTGTAGGTTCCTGTATCGCAGGCAGTGATTGCTTTCTCAGGAGCTTGCCTCTGGCTTCCTGTTCTTTCCACCTCATGGTTCACTCTTTTTCATCTAAATAGGTTTAGGGAGGTTTTTTAATGAGATCCATGGGTGGTGTACCTTGTATCCTTATCAATACAAAGTATTCATCTTTAAAAAAAACATTCATCTCATCTTTTCCCAACTCATGAATGTAGTCCCATAATTCCTATAGGTCCAACTCAAGAAAATCCAAATACAAATTCAATTCATCCTCAACAGTCGCAAGAAATACCAAATACAATTCCAAATCATCCTCAATCGTAGGGAAATGAACGTCTAATATTTCTATTATGAGTGTTCACAAGAAAGAAGCATAATCATGAACCAATAGTGTCCCAATCTTCGAAACACATGCCAGATTAAACTCTAAAAGAAGGTAACACAACTGAACTTTTATCTTCTAAATTATAAGATCTTCCTTTGCCTATTGTACTGAGAAAAGAAACACACAAATATACAAAACACCCAATAGCCAATTTTATCTCTTTTTCTAATATATCTCCATCATATAGGGAACTTTTAATAGTAGTAAATACTATTAAGATTCCAAAAAATGCTCCAAAAACAGTTAAGGGTGGAGAGTGAAAATTTTCTTGGTTGAGAAAATGAGAGTACTTTAAAATAATAGATCTTGAGATATAGTTGTGTCGTCTAAAGGTGAAAAAGTAATTTTATGTAAATAGGTGTTCAAAGTAAAATATATTGCAAATGGGAAACTTGATTATTTAAAAATAGGCTTGTTACTAAAGGATATACTAAAACATATGGGGTAGATTGTGTAGGAACTTTCACACCTATAGCAAAATTAAATACCATTAGGATATTATTATTTTAATGAAAATTCTTAATTATAAATTACAATAACTTGATGTTAAAAATGCATTTTTACATGGGGATCTAGAGGATGAGACTTTTTTCAGCCACCACATGAGTTCAATAAAACATTTGATGCTAACAAGGCATGCAGGCTGGGCAAAGCACTCTATGGGTTGGAAAAATCTCCAAAGGCTTGGTTTAGAAGATTTACCGAGGCTATGGAAGGAACGAATTTCAAACAAAGCTTAGGAGATTATACACTCTTCGTCAAACTATCAAATGAAGTTCAAATAGTTTTCCAAAGCATGGTTCAATAGATTTAGTAAACTCAAGATCTCTTTCGACTATTAAAAAAAGCAATGTTAATCCTATCTTCTTTATAAAATATGTTGGAAATCCTATAATTAAGGGACTGAATCTTCTTCCTTATTTTTAGGAGTTAATCTAGTGTAAATATGTCTCTAATTGTAGTTCCTAATTTTTAGGGATACTTTCCTATTTTTGTATTAGTTATTCCTTTAAAGTTGTAATATGTTGTTAGAGAAATACATAATTATTACTTTCTCAAATCTGTTCATGGCATCAGAGCTGTAGGGATATTTCCGATCCATTATACTTCTTTATAGTTTTCTCCTGTCTTGTCTTTCTATCATGGTAAACGCTAAAAATAATTCTGATTCTGAGACTTCACAAGTAACTCAGAATGTCAATCAAGCACTATCTCATAGTGATGTTAATTTGTCCCTCACAATAACTAATCACCGATTAGATGGGAAGAATTTTTTACAGTGGTCCCAATCGGTACTCATAGTGATTCGAGGCCGTGGGAAACTAGGATATATCAGTGGAGAAATTCCACGTCCTCCCCTTACTGATCCTACGTATGCTACGTGGGAACTCAATAATTCTATTGTCATGGCTTGGCTGATCAACTCCATGGAGAGTCACATAAGCCGAACCTACCTCTTATTCAAGACTGCAAAAGAAATGTGTGATGCAGTCAAGAAGAACTATTCTGATCTAGGAAATGCTTCTCAAGTTTTTGAAATCAAGCTAAAATTAAAAGATATTCAGCAAGGAACTCTTAAAGTTACACAATACTACAACAACTTAAAAGTCTTATGCCGGGAACTCGATATGTACTATAAAGTGGACTGGGGTGAAGGCTTGGAGCAAACCAAGTTCATGTCACATCTCAATAAAGAACGGCTCTATGAGTTCCTAGCAGGGCTGAACCAAGATTTGGACGAAGTTCGTGGCCGTATTCTGGGTAGGACCCCTCTTCCAACCATTAGAGAAGCATTTGCAGAGGTTCGAAGAGAAGAAAATCATCGCGAGTAATGATGGGAGATTTCAAGGAACCTAAACCTGTGACCAATTCTAATTATAGTCCTACTGAATCATCTGCCCTGGTCTCAAGGGGCCCTCAATCTCAAAAGAATCGAGCAGGGAATGATTCAAAACTAATTTGCTCAGGAGATCGACTTTGGTGTAGCTACTGTAACCGTACTGGTCACACAAAGGAGAAATGTTTCAAGCTTCATGGTTATCCTGGTACAACAAAAATTCAGAAGGAAAATAAGACTCTTTTATCCTTGGGCAGCTCATCCACTGCGACCCCTGTACCTACTGAAGCCGTTCAGGATGTTCGCCTAAAAAAGTCCCAACTTGAAACTCTTCACATGTTACTCGATGCACCAATAAGCCATGGTTCCTTGGCTGTTCAAGGTATTGCTTTTAATATTACTTTTGAATCTAGTAATCATCCATCCTGGATTCTAGATTCGGGAGCATCCAATCACATGACAGGTAATTTATCACTATTCCATACGTATGCCCCCTGCCACAACTAATCTGGAATTCGGATAACTGATGGTTCATACTCATCTATTGCTAGAATTGGAGCTGTTCGACTCACCAAGGACTTCTCACTCGAGAAAGTTCTTCATATCCCTAGTTTACCTTGCAATTTACTGTCAATAAGTAAACTTACTGAAGACAAGATGTTTATGCTAAATTTTTTGCTGATGGTTGTATTATACAGGAACAGAAATCGGGGAGGATAATTGGCACTACTAAGGTTGATGATGGACTCTATATACAGGATGACTACAAGGACAAGAATAAAAAAAGAGTATTTGCTCTCTCTGCTTCAAATGAGGACATTGTCAAGATGTAGCATCATAGGTTAGGACATCCAAATTTCTGTATTTGAAGCATTTGCTTCCTATGTTATTTCGGAATAAAAAAATCAATTCCTTGAAATGTGAAATCTTTCAATTGTCAAAACATAGTCGTGTTCCTTATCCTTTGAAGCCTTATATACAATCCAAACCTTTCTCCTTGATTTATAGTGACCTATGGGGGCTAAGTCGTGTTAAAAACATCACGTGTGCTAGATGGTTCATAACCTTTATTGATGACCATACTAGAGTATGTTGGGTTTACCTTCTAAAAGAATAAACAGAAACACCAAAAGTATTCCAGAATTTTCATTCCATGATCCGAACCCAATTTGAGTCAAACATACACACGCTCTGCACTGATAATGGAAGGGAGTATTTCAATTCTGTTTTAAGCCTCTATCTCTCTGAACAAGGCATCATTCATCAAAGCTCGTGTCCTGACACACCTCAACAAAACGGGATCTCAGAAAGAAAAAATAGACACCTACTAGCTATTGCTCAAGCCTTAATGTTTACCATGAAAGTTCTAAAATACCTATAGGGGGAGGTTGTCCTTACTGCATGTTATTTAATAGACCATATGCCCTCTAGAGTTCCTAATCTCCAAACTCCTTTACATGTCCTACAAACAAAACTTCCCCCTATTTCGTGTTCCTATCCTACCAGCCAAGATATTGGTTGTAAAGCCTTTGTACATAATCACCAACCTAATCAATCTAAACTTGATCCCCGATCACACTTATGCATCTTTGTTTGCTACTCATCCACAAAAAAAGGATACAAATGTTACTCACCCACCTTGTGTCGCATATTTATCTCTCGTGATGTCACATTTTTTTGAAGGCGAACCACATTTTTTTCCACTGATCTTCAGGGGGAGACTCTTAGTGAAGATGAGACTCTTCATACTCTTCTTATTATACCCCCTGAGCCTATCCTTAACAGCACTCTCACACAAAATTCTAAGGATGACCCTGTCCTTATAACACCAAATTTGAGTATTCCACTGGATAGAAATGAACTTCCCATCGATGAAATCCCCATTGGAAGTAAGTTTCAGCAACCTATTCCTCTGAGAAACCCCAGCTACAACCTCCAGAAATTATTATTTATTCTCGAAAACATTTCCCTCCTAAAAACGACACAGCAGCAGTGCCAAATTCATCAAACTCCGAGGACTATCCTGTTCCAGATCAGTCTCCTGGTTCGTCGAATATGGACCTTCCCATTGCTGTTCGTAAAGGCACAAGAACTTGTACTCATCATCCAATCTCTCGGTTTGTATCCTATGAAAATTTATCTAAAGCTTACAAAACTTTTGTAACTAATATTGACAGTGTAGAGACTTCAAGAAATGTGAAAGAAGCTTTGAAATCAACCAAATGGAGACATATTGTTTTTGAAAAAATGAATGCTCTAAAAAATAATGGGACATGGGAAGTTACAGATCTGCCAGAAGGGAAGAAAACTGTGGGTTGTAAATGGATTTTCACCACAAAAATCAAGCCTGACGGGAGTATTGATTGGCACAAGGCCCGAATTGTGGCAAGAGGCTTTACTCAAACCTATGGTCTCGACTATGATGAGAAATTTTCCCCCATTGCAAAGCTCAATAATGTTCGAGTGCTCCTTTCCTTAGTTGTCAACCTTGATTGGCCCTTAACACAACTTGATGTAAAAAATGCATTCCTCAACGGAGACTTGAGCGAGAAGGTATATATGGATTTTCCACCAGGTTTTGAAGAAGAAAAAGGGCAAGTATGCAGATTAAAGAAGTCACTATACGGACTGAAACAATCCCCAAGAGCTTGGTTCAGTCGGTTTTCCAAGGCTATGACCAGCAGGAATTACACCCAAGGGCAAGCATATCATACACTATTTTACAAACACTTGGGAAGTGGTAAATACTCTATTCTTATCGTCTATGTTGATGATATTATCCTAACAGGGGATGATTCGAATGAGTTGGTGAAACTAAAAGACTTCCTCAGCACATAATTTGAGCTTAAAGATTTGGGGAATCTCAAATACTTCCTTGGCATGGAAGTAGCACGGACTTGGACGAGCATTTCTATTTCCCAACGAAAGTATGTTCTTGATTTATTGGCTGAAACTGGCATGCTAAGTTGTAAACCTGCCGAGACCCCAATGAAGTTCAATTCTATGCTAGGAAATGATGATGATGGGGAAGAAGTAGACAGGGGGAGATATCAGCGACTCGTGGGAAAACTTATTTATCTATCTCACATCCGACCTAATATTGCATTTGGTGTGAGTGTCATCAGTCAGTATATGAATGCTCCAAAGGAAAAACATTTGGAGGCAGTTTACAGGATACTAAGGTATTTGAAGGGAACACCAGGTAAAGGTCTTCATTTCAAGAAAAACACCAGTCGTGACATAGAACTTTACACTGATGCAAATTGGGCAGGATTAGTGAGTAAGATGCGATCTACAAGTGGTTATTGTAGCTATGTGTGGGGCAATCTTGTGACATGGAGAAGTAAAAAATAGTTCGTTGTGGCTCGTAGCAGTGCAGAGGCAGAATATTGAGCTTTGTCTCATGGTATAAGTGAGGGAATTTGGTTACAAAGATTAATGAACTTAAAGTATCCTACGTTAAACCTATGAAGGTATATTGTGATAATCAAGTTGCTGTCAGTATAGCACATAACCCAGTTCATCACAATCATACTAAACACGTGGAGATAGATCGTCATTTCATCAAAGAGAAGGTAAATTCAGGAGAAGTTTGTATCATCTATCTTCCTACTAAGCAACAAGTTGCATACTTGCTAACTAAAAGTCTGAGTAAGAACATGTTTGAAGATTTTATTGGCAAACTGGGATTGATGAATATCTACAAACCAGCTTGAGGGGGAGTGTTGAAAATCCTAGAATTAACGGACTGAATCTTTTTCCTTATTTTTAGGAGTTAACCTAGTGTAAATATGTCTCTAATTGTAGTTCCTAATTTTTAGGGACACTTTCCTATTTTTGTACTAATTATTCCTTTAAAGTTGTAATCCGTTGTTAGAGAAAATGAGAAATACATAATTATTACTTTCTCAAATCTGTTCAAAATATCACAAGGGTAAGATCAATCTTGTTATATTAATGACATAGTGATGACAATATATGGTAAATAAAAAATTGTTAAACTAAAAAGGCTTTTAATTGAAGAATATTAAATCAAGGATTTATGGGAGCTGTAATATTTCTTGAGAATTGAAATTAGCAATTAGGAAAATGAGTCTTTAATTATCAAAGGAAATATATTTTGGATCTCTTGATAGGAACTAGTATGCTGAGTTACAAACTGACAAAATCACTTATTGAGAGGACTCGTAAGCTACAAGCAGAGATTGGAAAGCTAATTAATAAGGAGAGATATAAAAAATTGGTTGGATGACTAATTTATCTCACACATTAGACCAAACATATCATATGATGCTGTATTGGTAAGCTAGATTAAGCACAATCCCCAAGAGTCTCACATGTAAGTTGTTTTTCGCATAATCTTGGTAAATGTCTTCCTTTCTCCAAATTTGGTTAAGTTCGGATAATTTTTTTAGAAATGCATATTAATTGGATCTTCATATGATAGGAGGCTTACTTTTGATTATTGTGCTTGTAGGAGGAAACTAGTCACCTGGAGAAGCAAAAAGCAAATTGTAGTTGCATGATGAAGTACTAAAGCAGAGTATGAAGTTACGACTTAAGGTTTGTGAGCTTTTTGGTCATGAAAAGTATTGGAAAAACTAAATTTATCTTGAAAAGAAAACTATCAAGGTACTGTGATAACAAAATTTGGATTATTATAGCCCAATATCCAACATAAAATGATTAGGAAAAGAAATAAAGATTGTTCATCACTTCATTAAATAAAGATATCTATTGATGAGTACTTAAATTTCTCCCATATGGAGGAGTATTGTTGTTGCTATCTATTGATGAAAAAATAAGATTCATTTTGCAAAGATCAAACCAAATGAGAGCTTCTAAAAGAATTTAACAAGTCATCGACAAAATATTACTATACCAACGAAATAGTCAGATCAACTTACTGTGGTTACCCTTTTATATCATTATATATCAGTATCAGACAAGGTGCTGCTTTAAATGTCAGACTTCATAAGATAGTTTAATTCATGATGCAAATAAAAAGTTAAATTCATGATGCAAATAAAAAGATACCTGAAAATTACAGTGAAGAGATGTGAAAGGTTCCATTCGAAGGAGGTAATAAAGCACAATCCCCATGCTTGAGTAATGAGACCCATAATAGAAACTGCACTAGGAAGTAGAGGCCCAACAACACATTAGAAAAACAAACTAAAGTAAAATTTATATAAAAACATATGAATATCTTGAGTCAGGATTGAGATTACCTAGGTATATCTGGATCACAAAAGTTTCGATATCTTTCTTCAAACACCTAAATCATGAAGAAAAATGTTTGGATACATTGAAGGGGAAGAAAAAGATTATATAAATGAATCAACATTAACTCATTCTATGAACTTAAGCTGAAGAAAACTGACCTCAAACCTTTTTGAGTCCAGAGCTCCAACAGGCTTAGAAAGATCTCGAAAAGTTGCCGACTTTTTAAAATCAAGAACCTCAGATGAGTAATCCGCTAAAATCCAAGGAAAGACAGGATACTGACTCAAATCGTTATAGGTTCTTCCCGAGAGTGTGTTGAGAATCATCAAATACTCAAAATTGGTTATATCCCTTCTCTTCCATCTCTCCCTAGCAGTTTCTGCCATTTCCACTGCCACACGTCTATCAACAAATGAAATAGTGGCACTCTTGTCCCTACTACTTCCTCTTGGAAACAACAACTCATTTCTAGTAGAAACTATCAGGGTCCCAATATCTTTTGCATTCTTTTGTGAAGCAAAATTTATAAATATGGGAGCAACTGAATCACTGAAGAAAATCTCAATTGCAGTGTATCTAAGCAAATATCGAGTCCAATGAGCAGCTTTTATCTGTGGTCAAGAAATCAAACGAGATATCAAAATGGAGCAAGACATACAAGCAATACAACCAAAAAAGTGAGGAAAAGAAACAAAGAAACCAATGTTTCCTACCTTGCCAATATTCCATCTTCGATGTCGCTTAACCGTTTGTAATTGCTTATTCAAATTTTCTTCATCTATATTGTCAGGAGAAGCCCATTTCTTAGAATATATATCTTGATTGATGGACCACTTAAAAGAATTTGCCTTTTGATTGGCCTTTTCTAATTGGGAATGACTTGATGCATTTAAGTTCTTGAAAACCGAAGACCCTACAGTACCTTCGACCAAAAATTTACCAAAGAAATGCAAGACATGTTTCATGACTGCCAATTGACCTGCCAATTTTCTTTTTGGTGTTACAAGAACACATGGAAGTGACATAAGAACCTGCAACATCAAACCACAAATTGTCAATGAAGTAACTTTATACGTTTAATTGAGAAGAAACCATGTTTGCCTGTTGTTATAATACAAATGATGCACCTCACTAGTTTCTGTTTCTAGAGAAGGTGACGAAAACTCTTTTCTGACTGGTACAATGTCAATATGATCATTATTGCGTTTGACTAATTCTGCACTGTGAATGTCAGAATGAGCATCAGGAATAATCAACTGCTTGCTTGTTTCAACACCACTCTCACCAGGTTCTGAGTTGCCCTCATCAGTTATCTTGTGTACACCTTTGAGTAGAAACTTCCTTTTCTCAGGAATTTGCCCCACAAAACTTTCTTTGCTCTCACTACTTGGCAGAGTAGCTTCATTACAGGGGGAAGTGGAAGGAGGATGACACAACTTTTCATCAAAATGATAATTCCGCCTTAACTTTGGTCTACGTCTCTGTGTATCTTCAGTCTTGTCAAGTTTCCAATGTATCAAAGCATGATTTGGAAATGGATTAGCAGACCAAGGGCCCCTTTCATCGATTAAAGTGCGAAACATGTGCATCCATTTTTCCTGTCAGAGAAAAACCTACTTTTACATACATATGAGCACGAAATCGAACATAACTAATTCATGGAGAAATAAAAAACAAAACAAAGGTAGAGAAACTATTAAATAAACGAAGAACTGAATGAAAGAACAAGTTCTAAGATAGAAATTTTTTCCATACAACAATATTTTGCTGCTCCTCCTCATGTGCAAGCAAGAACGCATTCCTTCTACTCTCATCTGAATCAAGAATTGTGTGTAAGCTACTTTCTATCTCATCTTCAAATGCCTTTTGGTTATAAACTTCTGAAGAGGAATTTTCATTCATTTTGGCACGAAGCTCCTGCAAGTGTCTGCTACGGTCAGATTCCAACATCTTAATATACTTAGATTCGTCAGAAACCTGAAATAAAAAGGTCAAAAACTGAATGGTGGATAACAAGGAAAAGTGGGGGAGCATAAAACTATATGGCAAAGTAATGAAAAATCTCACAAAACAAGATGAAAAATTCACAATTTTATTAGTTATCTTTAGGCAATGACAGCATTTATAAAATATGCAATGCAATGCACATACCATTTCTTCATGTGGCTTATTTGCGTTTACCCTTGGAGATAATCTCAAAAGAATTTTTCTCAATTCAGAAAAATAAAAGGTATATGATAGAGACATTAAAGCAAAACATAAAATACTCTTCTTTCTTCCATCAAAAGAAAGTTCATAGAATACCATATAGGTTGAAAAATCAAATAAACTTGGAACGATGATTTTTTTAGTGGTTTCCGTGTAAGGTCTAGAATAAACCACACAAAAAACAATAGGTCTCAATCTTGGAATATAGTAGAACCAGCAAAACATTAATGGAACTTCCCAAGTCCATGATATTTTCCACCATTTGAAATAAAAGAAATTTTCATACAATTAAAACGTTGAAACAAATAATAACCAAAAGAGATGATAAATTTAAAATTAAGAACAAACCGCAGAAAGCACTCGATCCTTCTGAATTAAATTGTTGAAATGTCCTGTTTCTCTTGACTGACTGTTAGACTCAAATAAGTCATCCCTACCGACCATGCAAGTGACAAGCATTGACTTTCCATAGTTTACAGTTTCTCGAATCACATGTGCTATAACATGAACTCTTGCACCATCGTCCAAATTTCCATACTGGGATCGTACAAGAAGCAAAGACCTGCACATCATGTTATTTTATTATCATTTTAATATTCTTCCTCAAAACTAATATAACCAGTTGTATGACAAACAGAATTTTTAGACCTAGGAATAGGATAAACACTAATACCAGATGAAGAGTTGTAGTCTATTTTTGCTTTGCTCATCATCAATTCCCAAAAAGAAAGGTAGAAGTGAAATGAATCGTTGGACACATCGTGATGCTCTTTCTAGGGAAGATTTGCAGAGATATACAATTAATAGTCGAAACACAATTCTTGGACACCTTTCCCCCCTTAAAGCCATAGCTTTATCAACATTTTTATTTGTTCTTCCACTCAATGCATTGCCAAAGCCTCCAGAAATAACAACGGCAGCCATTTCTGTGGCAGGGATATTAAGAGATTCTACCAAGTCGCGTGCTCTTTGGCCCAAAGATGGACCACCTGATACAGTACTTCTAGGCACCATTTTTCTCGGACTCTTTCCATTAATCGCACTAATAACATTCCATAAATTGTCAAATAAGTTCCACCACCTATCATTAGTTATGTCATCTTCACTTGTTATTGATTGCTTGGAAGCCAATGGGTTTCTGACAATGAAACAATTCATACAAAACTATGAAGTTATTTACCACTGAACATCTTGTTTGGTGGCATAATATTGTCTTGATAAATATCCATATTATGTCGTATTCAATTCTCAGACTCAAAGCAAAACTGATTCAAACATAATTTTGGATGATGCAACATGATAATAAGAAGCAACTACTTTTCCAATAATGAAATACGTGAAATCATGAATTCTATACTTTATAATGAAATATTGTACATATCATTGAACAAAAGAATCGAGAGATATTGTAGATACCATTTGTAAAAAAGAACAGAATGCAAAGTGATGGCACCCTACATCTCAAGAAAACCACGTGCTCAACTGAACCTTTTTTAAAATGGTAAATAAGTCAAATTATTGCTTCAAATTCTCCTAGTGTTATTGATTAATATTCTTAAATATTGAAAATTCTACTGTAAAGTTAGATTTATGGATATCATAAAGGTGTAGAATCATATACAAACTTTTCACGATAAAAGTATAAAATGTTTTACCTACAAATTGGTAATATGCCTTATTACAATGCAAAAAGTTTATTTTGAAGAAAACAAGCTAGAAAAGATCAGATTGGTATTTCCTCCATTGAAAAAAAGAGTAGAATAACATTTATCTCTAACATTTAAACTCACTGAGGATTTTAAAAGGTAAAAAAGTAGAAGGAAAGCTTGTCAATGTCATGCAAAATAAAAGCAAAACACAATACAATGGCTACACAAACAAATTAGTATCACAAATTGAAGAAATAACCAAATCGCAATAAACTATGTATATTGCATTCCAACTAAAGCACAATTAAACGATACGAAATATATTAGTTTCAAAGGCAATGGATAAAATTGGGCTAGCTGTATCCATACACTTTGTCATCAAATTCTCCTCGCAAGACCTCATTTAACAAAGTTGTATAATCCTTCAGGCCTTCTACCATTAAAGAATCCACAAATGAATCTGAACTAATAGATGGAAACTGTAAGGGAAAAATATAACAAATTAACATCATTCATATGTGGAATAACAAGATATAAAAGTAACGGAATTGTCTAGCCTAAAAGATTTATATGTTAAGAGTTGGTAAACAATTCTTGATTAGTTCTTCATGAAAAGATTGAAATCATAAATTTCTAAATGTTTTAATGTCTCAATTTCATATATTTTAGAACAAACTAAAAGTTCAGTCATATACAAGATAATCAATTGAGTCTCACTTTTTTCTTTCAAACATGTAAAGGGAAATCCAATAAGGAAACTTTAGGACCACCTCTTCCTTCTCTTCCTAATATCCTAATATATTCTTCCTCTTATATTCAGGACATAATTAAGTCAGGTATATTAGGTTTTTATGAGACGTTAGAGGCATAAGGAAAAAAATATTTCACAATAGAGAAGATAAACCAATAATTGATGTAAAACAATCAAAGTCTCAAGTGAAATGATACCAGAAGTTTATTGCCAATTTCAGAGATAAGCATCTCATCAACCAAACGCAGAAAGTACAATATGTTGTCACGACAAGGCTGTGAACTAAAAATATTCTCCTTGGAAGATAAATCTACTAGTCGTTGAATCAAGTTGTCATATATGTCACAAGTAAGTGTTGACATGATGTGCTACCCTAACAATAATTGAAATCAAAGTAAATTATCCACCAATGGAATAAAAAAATCATAAATAGATAAATATAAATTAATATGCCCATTAGTATAGTAAGGAATTTGACATACTTGCTCACAATGCAGAAGAAGAAAATTCACAGTTCCCTCTAATTGTTGCCAGCCACCTTTTATAAGTTGAATGTAATGACAAAGGACAATAGAAAAAACCTTAATCACAAGAGTTTTTTCATTTTTCTCATCGTGATCATAATATCTTGAATCAGTCCTATAGTGTTTTACAACGTCAAGTGTCACAGAAGCTGTTAACCAAGCATTCCAACCATATTCCTAATTCAAAACTTGAAAAATTAGAAACACTTTTAAAAGAAGACATTGAACAAATACATATGAATTATTAATTGTATGCAATACCATTAATGATTCTATATTCAATGAATTTGAATCGAGAAGTTCAAGTAGATCACTAATTATATTTATTCTTGCAGATTCATCTTTGCAGCCAGATAGGAATCTGAAAATTAGAACCAACATTTGAGGAAGCAAAAAGTGAGAATTTGTTCCTCTCGTCCTCAGCTTTTTTATCATACTAGTCTTTTGTAATACCTGTAAACAAACAATTCCAACGGACATGTTATGTTTGAAAAAAATATCAAAGAATTATTCAAACAAAAGGCACAGGTCGAGAATAAAAAGAAAGAACAACTAAAATATACTAAACTAAAAGACAAATGAGATAAAATTCCATGATTGGTCGATCACCTGTTTGGGGCTAGCACCACCTAGGAGAACGTCAAAAAAGGTCGCACACAAATTATCCGTCTGTGGAAACTTAAACAGTCTATCAGATATAGCTGAGAAAAGTGGTTGCAACCTTGAGCTGAATTTCTTGTTGTTTTCTGAAATAGGTTTCGTTCTTCCTAAAAGAAGATTGAAAAACCTTGTCGCCTTTTTCTCTAATGGAAAACCAACCAAAAGTCTTCCCAGAAACTGCAAGCTGAGCAATCTAATAGGCTCATATTCCCTATGCAAAGCAAAATTGGAGGGACACTTTAAGACATTAACTCTTATTCATTGATTTAAAATAGACCATGTGTGTTGTTTTTCATTAAGACATTTCAAGTATTTCAGAATGAAAATGCATTGATTAGTGAAATTATGAGATCAGCCATCATGGTGAAAAATACTTAAGCATGCACTTGATTCATAAACTTGAACGTTTTCAGTAACTGCATATTGTTCTAATCAACAGTTAGAACAAAAAATAAATAAATAAAAAATTCTTACAAAATTACAATGTGCAATAGCATCATCACATAGTGAAAAAAGATAAACATATAAAATAAAAGTAGATTTGATTTTCAAAATGGAAATTAATAGAAATATAATACAAAGATGCTTGAGAAAATAAGTATCATCTCTTCACTGAAAATTGTAGATTGTAGCCGCATAACTTAGTTGTTAAAGTTTTAATTTAGCTTAGTTGTTAGAGTTCTGTTATCTATTTACTTTGTACTCTATATCATATCTAATAAAGAGATTAGATAGGATATTGATTAGATTAAGTAAACTCTTAATATGACACTAAATTAGAATTATATTCCTATTATATTCCTTGTAAAAATATGTCTATACAAGGTCTAGCATATCTAATATCTATTTGTTCTACCCCTCGAATACTATGGTAGACCCACCTTCTTCCTCATAAATCAGTTCTAGATCAGATCAACGTTCATCATAAAATACTGTGCCCATTTTTTCACATATTCCTATAACCTTTCATATACAACATATGCAACAACAATTGCAGTAGAAGCAACATCAGCAGCAAAGGAAGAAAGAGATGCAATTTTCTCAGCATTAACATCAACTCCTTGCTCAATAATAGATCAGACAGAATCAGCTATCGCTTCATGATCTGCAGGGTTAGCCTCAACAGAAGTTTCAATCATTAAATAGTTAGGTGTAGTTTTCCCGACCCTTGGGCTATTAACAATTTCTGCCAGCAGATCATTAGCAAACAAATCTTGCTGCAATTCTTGCTGCAAACAAATCTTGGATAGTGGAATCTGGAGCCTCAAACCATATGACAGGTGAAACTAGTGATCAACATAGAAGATTTATACCTTATCAAGGTATTATTCCTTTTGCACCTACTGCAGATAACAAAACATCTACAACATGGATAATAGACTCTGGAGCATCAAATCAGATGATAAGTGATAGCAATCTATTTTAGACATTTTGATCACTAAAAACACCTTCCAATGTTAAGACTGCATATGAATCTTTTTTAAAAGTTGAAGTGACACCATTCAACTGAAACAAAATCTCAATATTTCATATGTGCTTTATGTTCCTCACTTGGCATGCAACCGTCTATGTGGTAGTATGTTTTCCCATGATTTCAAATGTTACACTAAATTTGATTCAAATCTTTGTGAATTTCATGCACTAAGCCATGGGAAGGTGATTGACAATGCTAAGCTTTATGGCGGACTCTACCTACTCAAAGGGAAACCGCCCAAAATTATTTCTATATCCCCTATTACTTCAAAGTTTCTTTCCAATGATATTTTTTTTATAGGAATAGGTCTCATTAAAAATCTCCCTCATAATTGCCTCTTAAGAAGAGGCAATTAGCGGAAGGAGGAAAAGAGTACCTCAATATATAAATAACCCAAAATTACATAAGACTTTAAATACAACATCACCCGAAATAAGAGACTAAACATAACCATAAAAACACTAAAAGAACGTTTCAACCAATCCCCTCCTTGGCTAACTTATCAGCCTCCCAATTACAAGCCCTAGGGACCAGCCTAACCACAATGTCCTTAAACAAAATTAAATCCCCAACCAAAGAACAACAAAACGATGGGGCCTCAAAGGGCCTCAAAATCCAATCCACTGTTGTTTTACAATCACTCTCTAGAATAAGTCTACCCTTCAACACCCATCCCGAATTAAGAAACAAATCCATGCCTTCCTTAATAGCTTTCAACTCAGCAAGCACAGGAGGACCTGGTCACACAGCCTTAGAAAAAGAAATCAAGATAGAGCCATTCGAATCTTTCAGTACACCTCCAATACCACCCTGCAAGCCATCACCTCTAACCGCCCCATCCACATTGAATTTATAAAAATCAGGAGGAGGTGGAAACTAGCACTGATCGATCTTCCTCTTGTGAGATAAAACAGCTAGACTGTCTGCAAGCCGAGGATCCCCAACTAATAAATCAACTTGGATATTAGCCTTAGGAAATTTGGCTAAAAACCATTTTGCCAGCCTGAATCTGCATATGAAGAACAATGTAGAGCTCTCAAAGTTCCAATTCTCGAAAACCACTAAATTCCTAGCCTTCCATAGTGACCACAAAACAACACCCGGGATAAATTTCCAAATAGAAGAAGAATCCATTAAAACAGACCAGGACCAGAGTAAAGACATAGGATCTTTAGGCAGAACAGTAGACACATCCCATATCATGATGAACCTATTCCATAACTCCCAGGCAACCGGACATAGAATGAATAGATGTTGAATTGTTTCTTCATCTTTTTGCATAGAGGACATAATAAATCTTCCATGGAAACACCTCTTTTCTGCAACTCCACTCTAACAGCTATTTTTTATGAGATAGTTGCCATAAAAATTCAACTTTCGGAGGAACCAATCCCATCCTTATTCCACTGAAAAATCCCACCATACCTACGTGTAAGTGTTGATCTGCAAGCCTTCAATGAGAACAAACCATCTCCATTCCCTGACCAAGATAAAAAATCTTCATTTGAATCAATCAAAACAATATTCTCGATCAAAGTCATTAGAGAAATCCATTGCTCCAATTCCCAGTCACATAAATTCCTCCTTAATCGGATATTCCAGACCCAACAATTGTTTTCATAACAGCCAAAGTCCTCAACTAATCCCCTTTTATTAATCGATAAGGCATAAATCCTAGGGAATTGTTCTTTTAAAGTAGAATTATTAACCCAAACATCATTCCAGAATTCAATTGATCTACCATTCCCCACTTGAATCTTTGAATTTGACCTCAAACAATTCCCTATATCATCCTTCTTCTCATAATTATTCCGAATTCCTCTGTATATCCATGAATCTTGAGAATTTGTAGCTTTATTAATTGATAGAGACAAGTTACTAATATTGTGCTTGCAACAGATCATCTTCTTCCACTGTGAATCTTTCTCATTCGCAAACTTCCAAACCCACTTCCCAAGTAACGCTCTATTAGTCAAACACAAGTCCAAAACTCCCAAGCCTCCCTCCTCATACGTTTGACACACCATTTTCCAATTTACCCAATGAATTCGTTTCTTAATAGGACTATCCCCCCACAGAAAATTAGCCATCAAAGAATTCAACTTCTGATTTATCTTTAAGGGAATTTTGAAAATCGAAAGGTAAAAAATAGGCAAGGACGACAAAACAGACTTCACCAACACTAATCTCCCTGCCATCGATAATGAAGTAGCTTTCCAGTCTGCTAATTTGCTGTTGAACTTCTGCAGTACTAGTTCCCACAACAATTCTGAATTTCTGGTAGTTCCAATCGGTAGCCCAAGGTATGTCATAGGAAAAACCCCCATACCACATTCTGCACTTTGAGCCCATTCCTTTAGAACATCATCATCTAAATTTACACTGAACAACTTACTCTTGGACAAATTAAGATGGAGGCCTGTCATTAAACTGAAAATCCTCAATACTCTCTTAATGTTTAGAATCTGAGTAGATGAGTCTCTGCAGAATAGAATTAAATCATCTGCGAACTGCAAGTGCATCAAATGAAACAAATTATCCTCCCTGCCAACACTGAACCCTTCGAACAGAGCACAATCTGCAGCCTTAATCAACATTAAATTCAGTAATTCCCCAACAATATTAAACAACAAAGGAGACAAACTTCAACCTTGTCTCAACCCTTTCCCCAACTTAAATTCATTAGTCGGAGAACCATTGACTAGAACTGAGATAGAGGCTGATGAAATGCACAAATCTATCCATGAAATCCACCTATCTCCAAAACCCATAGTTCTCAGAAGTCTCAACAAGATCGACCATTCCACCGAATCATAGGCTCTTCGAAAATCCAATTTGAAGACCACACCTTTTCTCCCTTTTTTCCTACAGTAGTCAATAACTTCGTTAGCCAAAAAGGCATAATCCAGCAGCTGTCTTCCAGGAATGAAGGCAAACTGTGATGGACTAACTAAATCTTTAATAACAGACATAAGCCTTCTAGATAGGATTTTAGAAATTATTTTATACAAATTGCCGACTAAGCTTATTGGTCTATAGTCTTCAATACCTTCAGGATTTCTGATCTTGGGAATCAATGTAAGAAATGCATGATTGACCCCATGCTCCCAATTCCTTCCGTTATAAAAATCTTCAACAAATTTCATAATATGAGGCTTCAAAGTTGACCAGAATTTCTTAAAGAAACCCATGGTGAAACCATTGGCCCCGGTGATTTGGCACTATCCGAGTGAAAAACCGCCTCCCACACTTCCTGTTCTAAGATTTTAACTTCAAGAATGTTTTTTTGCTCATCCGTCAGTTTAGCAAAATTCAAGTACATTACATCCACATGTCAGGTAGATTTCGAATTATAGTTGTCCTTGAAATACTAAAAAACGAAGCCTCTCAGCTGTTCTGGGTCTGAAATAACGTCCTCTGCTACCTTCAATGATGAAATGGTGTTAATTCTTTCCAATGATATTGTTTTATGGCATTTTAGGCTAAACATCTCAATTTCCATTATCCTGAAAAAATTCCTCCCAAAATATTTATTAATAAAACCCCATTCTTTCTCCTATGTTATTTGCTAAATTGTCGAACATACATGAATTGTTTACCCCAAAACAAATTACACAACTTAAAATATTTTTCAATTATTCACAGTGGCATTTAGGGCGTTCTAAATTTAAAAATCTCAGTGGATCATGTTGGTTATCATTCATTTATGATCATTCGAGGACAATAACATTCTTAAC